TATTCAGATATCGTGAGATGCGGTCGGGTATCTCACGATATCTGAATAACTATCGATTAACGGTCACTAATCTCTACACTCTTCTATCTTAGGTTAGCTATATCTCTTCTGAGTGCTATAAAACTCTGACTCCAAACATTCACTCGTAAACTAATTTATCCTATTGCCATCCAAGCTTTAATTTTTCCTTTTTTTTCTTTTTAAAAATTCTTAATTTGGGAGGCTAAATGTATGCAAAAATCCCATTTTAAATTACATATAAAATTTATTTCTGTTTATTTTTTGATTAGAATTGTGAATTTTTGTTCCATAATTTAAATATTTCCCATAGGCTTGTATGGCTAATAATAATAATAATAGAGTCAGACTAGCAACAGTCTCAGCATGAGTATAAGCTCATCCTTATCCTTTTATTCTTCCATTCAAATATGATACATAAACTAATTCTACATAACAATAATAAGAAACAAAACACTATAACACTTCTTTTTCTTTATCTTTTTTTTTTTTTGGGAGCTATTTTTATTATTTAAATTGCGATTTTAGGCATTGCAGTTCATTACTCCGCAATTTGTATTTTCTTCCATTTCATTTTCCGCTCCGGCAGCCTCAAAAACTTCTGAAAAAAGAAATCTTGCAACTCTCTTTCAAACATTAGCAGGCATTCAATGGTATAAAAATTTGGGAAAAGGCCTAAATCTCATTATAAATTCCAATAAATTTGAGAATGCTGAAAAGTGCTCTTCGAAAGAAACACTGGGGACCCAGTAACTCCTGTAAATCACTCGAAAGGTTGAGTCTTTACCTAAAGGGTTGTAAAGTGGGACAGTCGACCAAAATATTATGTTTTACTGTCAAAATGATGCGTTCTCCACTTCGCATACATCGAGGGCAAGTTGGAAGGTTGTTGCCTATTAAAAGCCTACTATGGATTAGCCTGATATGACCTATTCGCAATCTAGAGAGAATCACAAGTTCTTTTCTCTCAAGTTCCTCAGTTGGCCATTTATGTACAACTGGCTTAATTTCTTTCATACTATCTCTACAGACATTCCATCTTGCCGCCCACTTTCGTTTGATAATGTTTTTAACATAAACGACTATATCATCTGGAGGGAGAGGAAATTGATCTGTTCTTTGTGGATGGTTTACGGCGTTCCTTGCCTGTTGATCAGCTTTTTTTCATTTCCAGAAATGCCGACATCACTAGGAACCTAAACAAATACCACATGTTTGTTGAGTGTTCTGATTTCATAGAGATATTTGTGTATTTCTAAGATGTAAGGGTCAACCGAGAAATTATTTTTGATTTCTTCGAGACTACTTTTCGAATCAGAGCAAATAATGGCATTACAAATTCCTGGCGATTCCTTTATAATGCTCAATGATCTTCTGATTGCATGAAGTTCAGCTGTCTATACGCCTCATTCGATAGAGACCAGCTGAGGTTATACTCATCAGCAAATATCCCACACCCTACACCAATTTCATTTTTAGTCCCATCGGTATAAAAAACTTTATAATTGGGATAGTTATTTAAAATTCGCAAGAATTCTGCCTTGATTATAGAGAAGGTGTTTCTCTTTTGTTCAATAAGGCCAGATGTTGGATAATTGTGGAAGTAGGTAATGCCCACGGTGGGATATCTAGCAATTTAAAACCCTCAACCGCCGGCAAGGTATTCCCTGCTAATCTCAACATTTCAGTACCGCGGATTCTTTACGTATGATTGTTATTATTATTATTATTATTAATATAAGATCAATACAGTTATTGTGCATAGCACTGGTTGTTAGTATAAATTTATAAACAATCTGATAAATGAGAGAAATAATGAATGATGAGAAATATATAGAAAATAACAAACACTTAAATGAACAAGTAAATTTTTTTAAATAAAAGAAAAGAGACAAGATCTAAGAAAGAAGGAAAACCTAACTCAGTTTCGGAACAAAAAATGTGTTATATGTTGGGTTTGAGAGATATAGCTATTTTGTCTGAATTTTTATTGAATTTAAAAAATTTCAAAACTTTATTTTGCTGGTTGAAATAGTAATTTATTAATAAATTTAAAATGTTGACCTATTGGGCACATTTTATCACAGTCAAAATAAATTTGTATGTTGCGAATTTTAAAAGTAATTTTTTGGATGGGCTTTTATTAACTATCACTTTTTATTTCATTAATACGGTTTACGTATTTAAACACGTTTCTACTGGAAAATATCTCATCTAGTATTCCAGTTTGAAGTAATAATAGGGAATCGTTCCGTTATTTTCAGTGACCTCTTCTTCATAAATTTTGAACTTCTTGACCCGGTTGAAAATAATCAGAATTTAAAACTATTCCAAGTGGCTCTCACACCTAGGTTGTCCAGTCGTAGGTGGTCAGGTGCCGTGCGTGTTATAGACAATAACATTCGTCCAAAGTATCAAGTGTCTTTTTCTCGCCCTTAATCCCAGCCCCTTTCCAACCATCACGGACGGGTTTCACACGGTGCAGGTAAAATCGAGATACCTGCCTTTTGAAGCCGAGTCAATCGCTTCAGTCACTCCTGAGGCACTGGACTGGTCACACGTTTAGCAAACTATCTATTATCAACGTCAGCCTAAATCCTGTCGAATTTTCCGTAAGTTACTATACTTCAAAAACGTTTTAACTTAGAAAAATCGTTATTTTATCTTTTCACCCAAGCTTCTTAAAATAAATGTATGACTTTGTTCAATTTTAAGTAAAACAGTTTACACATTTATGTTAAAGACAGGATAATAACCTTTATTTTAAATCACAATCACTTAATTTTATATTTAAATCAGTTTTGAATTACATTCCGATTGAATTTTGCATTTAAGCATTTTCTAAATATTTCATAATTTATTAGCAATTAGAAAAAAATATATAGCATGAATAATAGGTAAACTAGGTGAAAGTGTAGATTTGATTTTTGATTAAAACTTATATTTAAAATAAATGTCATATAATGTGATTTTTAATTTGTTCTATAAGAAACATATTTGCCATTGTTGTGTCAAATTTAGATTTGAGAAATATGAAACGTGCCTAAATTTTTGTGTATTCTGTTGAAAAAGTACATCTTTTTCTACCAAAAGAAATCTTTGGTTTTAATTTTTTTTTTAAATCCAAATGCTGGGTGTGGAAATGCGTAATTCATTATGAGCTCATCATTTTCTTATCCAATCCCTCGATGTGAATAAATTAATAATAAAAAGTAAATTAAAATTGAAGAAAAAAAATTAAGCAAAAAAGAAATCGAATTTTTATTATGCTTTATTCACTAAAAATAAACAACGTGATCAAGACCAAAATTATTTAAAATGTGAAATTTTACCCCGATCAGAGCCGTTATGAATTTGCCTTCCGATCATTTTGGTTTGGCTATCCTTAATGAGCTGGACTGTCCTTTCGCAATATTCACGCTTAGGCTCTTATAATAATGTTTATAATTTTGTTTACAATAAGAACCGTTTTTAATTTTGTCCGTATTGTTGAGTTATCTACTTATCGATGAATATGATGATTGCTCAATTATAATGTGTCTGCTTTTTTTATTTTATTTATTTTCAGTCAAAAAGTGTACCTTGAGAAAGGAGGTGTATCCTCCGAAACGTCGGTGAAATGAGTGTAAGTGAAACGAGTGGTGTCACTTTTTGACTGAAAATCCCAAAAACCCAACAGCGACACTATCTTATTATATTAAAAAGTAATAAGTATAAATTAATAAGACCGACCTAGTTAATTTATACATTGAATTTTTAAGTCGTGAATAAAACTTACCAAACTTAACTTTGACTTTGAACCTTTGTCTTTTTCGTCCTCTTCAGGCGCCTAGGCTTCTGGTGCAATTTTACACGTAAACATATGTTTTTAAAACTATAAAATGTGTATTTGTGTATTTCATTCTTAGATACATTCAAGTAAAGAATTTGACTCACGTGTATTGTGTACGAAGGCATACCCTGTTTTAAAAATTTGTTTTATTAATGACAGGAATGTGTTGGTGGTACAATAAGAACCTCGAATAGTTTTAGTGTAGACTATTATTAATTAGTTAACGCAGAAATTATGCGTGTTATTTTATCACCATCGGCACTATCAAGTTATTCATTTACGTTAATAAATACCTTCGTGAGATCACACTAAGACATAACATAATATGACTATAATTATTAGAAGATTCAAACGTATTAATAAAGTAGTCACGAACCCGTTGTTTCGCTGAAGTGTGGTTCTATTAACGAATGGCATTCCTACCCGCTTCCTATATGGAACCAACACATTACTCTTTTTAATATAAGAGATATCAACAGGTTTTTACGTGTTAAAATTCATATTGAAATTTCCCGCTTGTACTGTTGAAACTTGAATTCCCATGGACTGTAGTAGACAATATTGAAATTGTGTTAAACTGTTTCATCATAGGAAAATGAATCTGGAAATTTAATATATTTGAATATGACGTTGCACATTTTACACAAAATAATGATGGCCGTTTTCTGTGAAATGTTATTCATTAGGATTATTAATTATTGTAGACACAAAAGCAGGGATTGAAGTAAAACATCCCCCTCTCATTACATAACACAATCGCGAGAGGGGGATAGGTCTGTAAGTTTGAATAGAAACGGTGTAAGTCGTTTCAAGGGGAGGGCTTTTTTTTCCATTGACAGTGACTAGTGGGGAGCCATTTTGCAACTGTATGACAAATACCCATCCGCCGGGTAGACAATTGGGATATTAAAGTATCCAACTTTTTTCTCCGTCTTGAGGCTGACGTGATAACATAAGTCGCCGGACCTTCATTCAAAGCACAGCTTCCTTTCCGAACCGCTATCGTTTCGAGTGTTGGTACAACCACTTGTAAAGCGCAAATAAAGCTTTCAAGTCCTGATTGCGCGTCAACAAGCCCTTCTGGTTTGAACTCGTCATCCCTTGAATTTACTGTTATTGGCGTCTATTAATTGCTGTTTCCTTTTTACAGGTTGTTGGATTCTATTAAAATGCCACCACAGGGCAGGTCATCCTCCTTTCACATCGTTGACATATTGGATTTGAACGACCCGGCGAAAACCCAACAGCCCGAAGGACCTACTATAAATGCTAACCATGGACCTGGTATGTTTTAATTTCATTTATCTTTTAATTTTACGCCTTTTTAAAATGTTGTTAATAGATGTTTTTCCAGGGGGAGAATTTACCAATCTCCAACAACTGGGAACACACCCAAGTTTACTTTTTGCCGGCGGGCAAGTTACCACACCAATGGAAGCTTTACACCACCATTGGGGAAATTCTATACCAGAACTAAGAGGTATTGTCCATCTCGAACTATTTTTTTTTTTTGCTTTTAACTGTTAATTTTAATTCCAATACACGATGTAAATTACGCTATATCAATCAATTTAAAAATTATTATTATTTAATATAATAAATCTTACAATATATGATGAATAAGGTTATGATGCTATCTATAAATCTACCTAAAATTATTAAAAAATAAATTTATAAATCTTGATGCACACATTTGCGCATAAGTTTCATACGTTTTAGGTTAAAACATTATATTATTTATTAAATTCATTATTAAATTCATTATTGATTATTTAGATCGTAGGATGCGATCTTGTGCAATGTACTTACTGTAAACTACTACATAAATACTACACATTAATTTAATTATTCATTAAACCAGGTATGTTGAAGTTAAGGAAAAAGTAACTTCGTTGGACATCAACAGGCCGACATTTTGATTTATACATAATTGTTTTCTATTGCTTATTTGTTTCTTTCAAAATAAAGAACATAAAGAACACACAAGAAGAAATATTATTCCTTATAATTTTGTTAGCCAGAAAACATTTCATTTGCGTTTCTGCTCTCGTTTTATTCTGCCAAATCACACTTTTTATACAACCGTAAAACATAATTTTGTCTAATTTAAACATTAATTAGAAACGAGGCCAATTGTACACTTTATTTCTAAAATATTTATGGGTCCTTTGCAAGATTCAGGGCTTAAACATTTCTATTACATATAATTAATATATAGGTAACTTTGCAAAAAGAAAGTTCAATTTTTCTTCTTCTTTTTCATATATCTATATGTTTATTATATTGTTAAATTGGCCTTTTTTAGAACGTGTGTACTATTTTTAAGGCTACTTTTCATGGTTTTTTAAAATTTTCATTGCCACATTTTCTTTGAAACCTTGTTATAATTCTTTGAAAGCTTATGTTTTATATTACAGTTCGCGTGAGTGGTTAAACAACATAATAAAAAAAGGTTTGTTATTGTAATAAACAGAATTGGCAATTAGATAAGCGAAGAAAATGATTAGGCGTGTTCTGCATGTTTGCAGATGGGAGATGAAAGAACATCTGATAGATGATAGATGATTGAGAGATCTCCAGCCGTTTGATTAGCTATAAAACTACATTACAAAATGATTAAGATTGGCCTGATGGTTAGTTAAAACCAAAGCAAATTTAAAAAAACCATCAGTAATTAAAAAAGTAACATCAGAACAAATCATTTTTTAACTATGAATTCCTCGATGCACTGTCCGAGTTTTCGGCCGGGGGCAGGGCATGAAAATCTTTATTTGTTCGTATGTTTCTTAGTAATTTTACTACCTGATGTCACAATGAGAGGTTAGCAAGTTAAATATATAGGAGAGAGTTAGAAAAAGATGGATGAAAAAAGTAGCATGTTCCATTTTGTGCGCAGAGGCCCGGGAATGACCACTAGATGTTTCTCGGCCCATAACTAGTAAATAATAACATATGCAACTAAACTTTAATTGTACGAAGGAACAAATTAAAGTAAACATAAATTAATTTAAAAACACTGTCTTGTTGGTTTCAACGGCAATTTGTGATAGTTTTTATCAAAAAATTTCAAAAACCGGTAATGTGTATTTGTCAGCGGAACAGGATTGGAAGTTAAGCATAACATTGTCGGTTTTCGAAATGGGCTTAAATCAATCGCCGGCCAATCGGACAAGCTAATCCTATAAAAGGGCGAACACGTGACCGGACAAACTTTGACTCGTTCCCGTTCCGAATCAATTGGGGATCTTCGGCTCCTTTAGGATTAGACTTGTTATTAGAAGGCACGGTTTATTAGTTTATCAGCAAGGTGATGGATGGATATCAGGGCCTCTAATATAAGGGGTTTAGCGCCCGGTTCGGATAAGCCTCAGCGACCGAATTCCCCTAATTGCTGTCTGTAATAGTCCGCACCCTCTTTGTTCCCTCCCCCGAGCACCCCTGAGGTTATGTTTAAACAATGATCAGTCAATTTGCTCCCCCGGGGGCGTTTTATTCCCGATTTTATCTCCCGGTTATCGCTTCCCTTAGAAATAAATTGCCCTCAGGCATACGTTACTTATTGACGTTGTAATTAAATTTCAAATGGCTTTTTTATTTAATCATTACAAAACGTTTAAAAACATATATGACCGTATGGTGAAAGATTTATATGTACAATATTTATAATAGTCGTGAATTTTTTTTTCGCCTGACGACTGGTTGAAACCGGTTGTATCGCAAAAAGTAAATATTTTACGATTAAAAAGAATTATTAATTGATGTAATCTTTCAAGGTGATATGATAAAAATGTTTAGGGAAAATTACATATCGACATAACGCAACGAATATTTGTAATTTTAGTCGAGTAATTAATCAATAAAACAATTTCATTACAATAAGACTTATTAAAGATTAATTTAATTTGCATTAACTTATTGCATTATAACGTATGGAACAGTGACATAAGGAGAAACTTATGAATATTTCATAAAATAGTATCGATAACCCACAATAATTAAACTTGTCGTACAACCAATCGTTATGAACTTAAATTAAGAAAATAAAACAACTATTTTAAAAAATTATGTAATTGCTCTAAAATAATATTGTCCCATTATAACTATTACCAACTTATCCAACTAGATTATGTAAATATGTAGCTATAAATTTAATTAAAATGGATAAAACAACATATAATAATATTTCCTTGTTTACCTCAGTTTGCCTCATAGATATATAGGCGTCCCGTGAAAAGACGTCAATAATTTATGAGGTTATCCTACATGTTAAATTTTTTTTTTTTGCCTTATGATCTTTGCATATTAGCCAGGACGAATTCTTATATATGTTGTCCAAATTGGGGGTTATCGGGAAAAAAGGGCCAGAGGCGACGGTTAAATTGTACTCCTCCAAAAAAACCCCTATTGTACAATGAAATGACTGAATTTCAATTGTATTTGAGATAGTAGACTTTTCAGGTTACCTTTTACAATTTTATTTCGTAAAGTCCGTCTTATCTCATAAAATACAATTATTAATGTAAATTAGCTTTTACCAGTAGAAAGCGCATTAAAACTAAATTGTCTTCTTCTTGTAGCCTTAAGTGAAAAAAAAAATATATATAAAACTTCGAAGATAAATTTTTTTCTTGTTATTGAGTTCTTGCCTAAAGGTTAAAAAGGATTTTCTTTGTACTGTGAAGACTGATAGATCTGGCGCTTACAGAAAATTGCCCCTTCTCATGAGCATTAAACATCTGTACTTAATTTGTCAAGGGTCAATTATAACAAATATAAAATTAACCTTTAATTGCTAAAAATTTGATTTTTCAGTTCCAAACGGTTTAAAAAAAATAGTCATTGCCATCATTAATTTTGAAACTTCTGATAAAATATAATGAAAATAATAAAAATTAAACAAAAAGACTCTTTAGAACAATATTGGAGAAGTTAAATTGGTACAAAAAAATTTAAATTAAATATTCAAAAAGGGAAAGATATCGGGCTTGCATTCTTCTAGTACGTGGACATTTTAAATTTTTAATTTATATGTGTGGTGATTACTGATCGATAATCGAGGTCTCAACACGACACACAAGAATGGCAGAAAAACACATTGAGCCCTGAAGATGATCTCAATAAACATCGAAACGTTGGCACGATAAAGAAAATGTATTTCTACCCACGTCACACCAGACCGCATCACACGATCTCCGAATAATCATTTAATTTATAGTCTGTTTCGTTTACTTTGTATATTATTTACATTACCTATTAATAGTATTTTAAAATCTTAATGACTAGTTTCTTTTAGTACAGAGAACTTCATCAAATTATAAATTAAAAAAAACTTAAATGATAATAAATTTGTAAAAGGTTGAAATGAAATATATCGCATACAATAGAGACTTTTTAGTCCAATTTGAAATGTAATATAACCTCCTGAAATATCGATGTCTGTTCACGAGATAACGTGTATATAAAACAAATTTTAAAAATATATCAATGATATCTACCTGTAGAAATATTATTTCAAACGCAATTATGAAATATGAATTTTAAAATCCCTATGGCTTTATAATAATTTTTAAAACTTACGTGTAGCAGCCTTTATATCAAAATTTGTGCCATAATTTTCTTCTCTTATTAGACTAAAAATACAATTTTTATATTAAAACTCCTGTTTTTCGACACAAGTATTTATCCATATGGAAAGCAGTCTGGAATGGAAGAATAAAAAATTAATCTTTGAACGGTTTGTGAATGTTTAACAACATTTTATAACTTAAGTGTAAGCATGTATGCATTAAGACCACATATATTAATTTCAACGTATATAATATAATGATTCTTTGATTTAATGCTATTTGTCTCAACGATGAACAAAAGCTCATCATCAAAAGTAATAAAACGAGTGCAAAATAGTTAATGTAATGCAATTTATAAGTTGTGTGAATTTGGCCCTCTTTTTTTAAAATTTTTTATTTTGATTCTATTGTAATCTTCTCTGGCCAGCATAAATTAATGGATCATTCCAATCGTTATGGATCGGCGGTTTAAAGCAACAGTATTGACATTTGAGCTAATTGTCGGTAGTGTTATCAATGAAACAATGTGAAATAAACAAAGGAACAATAATACAATGCGTTCTGTACCTGGCCGAAATTGTTCCGATGAACACGGTAAACGCATTACTCTGTGCCTTAATGAAGATTGATAGTGGGATAGCCTCTGCCCTGCATGACTGGCTTATTGATCAAATAGCTACCGGGGTGTACGACGCCGCCGGCTTAGGCCCCAAGAGTGCCCTTTTCACGCCTACTTGTAAACCCGTTCCTAATTCACGAAATATATTCTACCGGGGGTTTCGAGACGCTCTGAAGGCCTTCTGAAGGGGTCATTCTTAGTCGTTTAGAGTTTTGAAAAAATTCCAATCAGAAAAAAAGTCAACAAGAAGATCTCTTTGTCAGCTTCAATATAACTGGTACGCCTGTTCTACCTTAAGAAAATTAACACATTTGTTTTTATCTTAAGTATAGATAAATAATACTTTCAAGAAGTTACACATTAGCACTGTTTTCAATACTTCGAACAGCTTAAATTTAGCGTTAAGCCGGCGTCTGTATGACATTACGTACCTCCATCAATATTTGTCTATTAATCGATCTCCATCGCCTAGAGCTTTTCGGTTTTTAATCTTTTTTGCAAGTTCAAAGATTTGTTAATAATCCTTTGTGTATTCTTCAGACTTTTCCTTCGTCCTATAAAAATGAATGATATATATAGACGGTTTTTCTAGCTTTGGCTTTTCGCTAAAGGATGTCCACAGGATTTTAATCCAGGTATTTATATACGCCAGTTCCTCTGGAATTTCTCTGTGAAAGGCTATTCTTCTGAGGAAGGATCCTTTGTCAGGATTTCCTCGCCGTACCGATCCCTTATTGACAAATGCGCCGGGCCGCCTCACGCCCAGATGTCACTCGGGCGACGCCCCCCAATTGGGGTTTTATTGGTGTGCGAGAGGGGCGTGTGGCAGATGTACGGGTAACCGACACCCCACAATGACACCCCTCGCTACAGATACAGATACATTGTCCTCCTACCCTTCCAAGGGTGCCACGGACGATTTTAATGCCCCATCATTCAAGTATGGGAATGGCTGACAAATTCAAATCCTCTTCACTTTTTTTTTTAAATTATTACAAACAATGTAAGGTTTTTGTTTGTAAATTAAGATAATATGGATTGATTAATGGCTGGTAAAAATTTAATTAAATTTGTAACGTATTGTAAAATCTTATCTTTACTTTTTATATTTTTAGGCCAACTTCAATTCCGAAAAATACAATAAAGGACACACAAATGGTGCGTTCTTACGAGAGTTTCTAAACAGACGTGATCATTTTTTTTATACGATTTAAACCTCAACAGAATCGACCAAAATTTAGATCAAGATATTTATTAAAGTTTTAGTTAATGGATGGCCTTAGAATATAAAATTCATCTTATTTGATGAATTTGCTTTCCGACTGAATTATTTTTCCAGTTCCTCCTACACCTATATACCAGTATACCTACCTTATAAACCAGTATGCAATATGTATGCATACTGAGTTTCTACTTATTTTCGTCCCCTCCTGGTTTGCTCAAAAATTTTGCAAAGTGGGAAATAATTTTTATTAGTATAACGTATTACGTTCGAACATTGTATTAATAATTACATTTATAATTGCTTGAAATAGTTTAATAAGGAAAGTTTTGTTTTTAAAATTACAAATATACTTTGTAAATCATTTCAGAAAAAACGTGTCTGTTGATACGGTATTTTCTATTACTTTTTATTATTTTTCCTCGATAATTCGTAATAGATTCCTAACATTTTTCATGGTTTTAACAATAATATGTATGCAGAAATACTTGATTTGCGAAAGAGCGAACTTCATTTGAAAACGGGTTAAATTGATTTGTAAAAGTGTGTATTTAATTTGAAAAGCCTGTAATAAACAGTGCAATCAATTGCCATCTTTGAAGTATTTGATTATGTGTAATGTGGTCAAATAGTTCTTTTTAGTTTTTCTTTGTTAAAGACAAAAAAAGAAATACAAACAATTGTGATTAATGGAACTGAAAATATTCAGTTGTGTGATTGCACAGAATTTATTCATGCGCTGGAGTTTCAACGTAATTTTATTTTTGTGTTAGTTGAAGAATTATTTGCAGATTTTATTCCTGAAGTACTTACAAGGGGGGATTAAAATTTGTAATATTTATAAGCATTATAAGTATTATTTTTTTTAAAGGATTATATAGGCCATTTTTTTTGGAAAGAATGTGCATTTCCGTTCATATTAGGAATGTTAGTTTAAAAGTATTTTTTTCCTGAAATGTAGTTTAAATATTAGCTTATACTGAATAATAACTTTGAAAAATAATGAATATTATTTGTTTTTTCAGGTCACCAACAAGCCAGTCCTGATAGCACCTCGCCCGGAGGTGTTTCCGATTTGACCGAAACGGGACCTTTGATGCACAATGGCGTTCCTTCTCCCGGTTTGAAAGAACAAATAGAAGAAGATGAAGACGACCAGCCGAGAGAAGCGATGCAGCCGGGTTCAGGGCATAAAAAAAGAAAACGGCGGGTCCTCTTCAGCAAGCAGCAGACGTTCGAACTGGAAAGGCGTTTCCGTCAGCAGAGGTATCTATCAGCCCCCGAGAGAGAACACTTGGCCTCCATAATCAGCCTCACGCCGACGCAAGTCAAAATATGGTTCCAGAACCATAGGTACAAGACCAAAAGGGCTCAACAGGAAAAGGGAATGCACATGGATGGAGGACACAACGCGGGGCTGACGTCGCCGAGAAGAGTTGCCGTACCCGTACTGGTACGCGACGGCAAACCGTGTACCTCCGGCCCGAAGGACCAAGTTATCCCATCATACCCACCCATCCACCATCCGGCTCACCGCAGTTGGTGGGGCGTCACATAAACCAATTGAACAATTCAATTTGATCTCTCTACCAAAGCATGTGATACAATTCATAAATTTTCATGTTAGTCATTTGGTGTAATATACATGTCAACAGTTTATCAAAAAAATCGGATTCTTCATGGGTTGTGTTCGTTTTTGTGAAATTTAAACAAAAATTATTTAGTTTTGAGGATATAAATTCTAATGGGGTACTTGCACAGCTGTATTACATTATTAAAGTGAATTTTAACAACAAAAAATCGCCATTTTATAATGAATGATTCTATGAGAACGATATTGATTATAAGTCGAAGAACGCAGGCACCCCATGCTACCGATAGAATTTGTCATATTTATCGTGCAAGTAATTTTTAAGCAGCGATTTGCACCTTAATAGTTGTAGCTAAGTATTCGTCGATAATTTCCATAATGTGTATTATATATATATAAAATGTGATTTTCATTCAGGCAGTGTAAAATTAATTTGTAAATAGAGAGGATATAGAAAGATATATAGAGCCTTATTTATTGTTCTGTAAATATTATAGATAGCCAATAAAATGTCCAATGATAATTTTATTTATTTTTCTTCACATAATCCTTATCTTTAATTAAATCTTTTGCCTGGAGTGGTTAAGTTAACAAATCACTCCTTCACTGATAAAAGCGATGTTGCAATCGGGCTAATAAATAAACTGTTTCCAATCCATCAATTTTTTTCAAGATTGTATTCTACAATTAGCGTTTGGCCTAGAATTTCTAATCTACGGTTGGCCAATCCTAGGAAGAAGTTTTTGAACAATTTTTCGAAGTCTAATTGATCTTGCCTTAGTTCTAGACAAACAAAAAAGATAAGAGTTGAAAATCAGGAAACCGTTCAAGTCAGTTCATTTTCAGATAGCGTCACGTCTTCGAGTAAATAAATTTGTTCCTTTTTTCCTTATCGAGGGTTTAATGTTTAACAAATGACTAAAGCCTTTTTAATTAATTTTTATGAAGAAACGTGCGTCAAAATGTTCGAGCAAATCTATTTTATTATTGGAAGGGACAAAATCACTCAGTTAAAATTCAAGCGTCACAGTAATATGGCAATCTCAATTCTTCAAAAAAATCAATGAATCTATCAGTAAATTTCAATCGTTACTGTAATTAAATAAAATTCCAGTATATTACAACTACCTTCCATTATGTAACAAGTAACACACTAAAAAAAATTGTCAATATAATGAAAACTTTTGCACTATCACTGTCACAGTATAGGAGGTCTCGTCGCCATCGCCTTTTTAGTCGACGAAGAAGGTTTGAGGGAAGAATTCGTCGAGGTGAGGGTTTCGGGATTTGAGGATTTATAGTAGTTAGGTCGGTTTTTATGAGACTTACGGTAACGGGAACGCAATTTCGGGTAAAATGTAATTATGCTGAAAGTTAATTATCAAATCAGTACCATTGGTGTCCGCGGCTTGGTCCATAAGTGGCAAACTAATAATATCATTGAGGGTATGGGTGCTCACTGCACATCTTCAAATGGTGGTGAAAGTGAATAAGTGGACTTAAACTGCTCGTTAAAATGTATGAACTAAAATAGTTTATTTTATTATTTTTATACGTCTTGGACAAAATTAATATTTAGGTCTATGTGGGTAGTTAGCCGGATACATGAAATGAAGCATCAGCGATTATTCGCAATTTGGATTGGGCAGTTTCAATGAGATGGATGTTGGTATGTTTGCCTGAATTACACTTCCAAGACCATATCGGCTTTTTTAAGTATTATAAAGCTTTTTTCTGATAGGTAAGTAAGAGCATTTATCAAAACGTCGTAAAAAAGCCCTGTATCGTGTCATAACTTCTTGACGTTTTTGTCGAGTTTAAGAATGAAACGCCAAAATTTGGAAGGAGGATATTATTAAAGTGAGCTGGAAGACAGAACTCTTTGCGGGAGTGAAACTGTGGGTGGATATTTCTGTGTGAAATGTAAAATTTTCGCTTCACATCAATACCCCAATAGCGTGAGGTTGTTGAAGGTCCTTGAAATAAATAAACATACTTATTAATAGAAAAAAAATTAACATATCGATATTGTGTTAATCGTTCATTTATCTCTATAACTGAATTATGTATATAAATAATATGTGCAAGTGTATCGTTTCGGTTTGAAATAGAACAGCGTCATTCCTGATAACACTCACTAATTTTTACCTTTTAATTTGGTAATGTTCGCTTAAGATCCTGAATATTTTGCAACCTATTTTCATTCAATAATCCTTAATAGAGCTTAACGAGTTTGAAAATGGTATTTGTCGTTGAGGCATACAAAATTTGATAATTTTGTAAATAAATAAAATTAAGATTGAAATTTTTTCTTGAACAGAAAGGAAAGATTATTAAACTTCCTAAATCGTTCGCTCAATTAGTCATGGGCTTCCCATTGATGGTAATGGGGAAAATAATAAGTTTACAGAACGAGGAAAATAGAAAGGGATAAAACCTAATAAATCTCAATCTATCTTACAAAAAAGAAAATTGCTGAATAGTATGAGTTCTGCTCTTAGAAAAGCGAAAAAAATGATGAAATTTCATAACAAATAAATTGTATTTTGTGATTGTGTTAAATTCGGTTAAATAATTTAATTTCTGAATGAGTTGCTTTAACAAACCAAATTAAACTCTAACGTATCATTAAAAAATATATACCACTGGCTGAATCGGGTGAAGAAAACAAGACATTTTAATAATTTACAGAAGCATTGTAGCGAAAGTATGTTCTTTTTTTTAGATGCAACTAGAATTAAAATATAATAAGTGCAGAAAAATACAACGTATTTATTGTTAAATGAATGGTTCTGTCTACAAAAATCAAACAAATTAGAGTTCATGAGGTTAGATAGGTCGTTAACGATCATTCAGAAGGGTTTCGCTATTTTGTTATCTTCAAAGAAATCACAGCGCAAGATCAACATAGCGAGGATAGGAAAACCAGAATGATCGGTACCACCAATTATAGGTACATTAATCTGCCGACCACAAGGGGTTAACTCACAATTAGGTAAATTGGGTATGATCAGGTAGGCAGTAAGGATGTAGACATCGACCAAAAGTTGTTAATTCTAAATGAAAATGAGGGATGTGGTAAATTTTTATTTGATTTTATTACATTTTGAGTCAACTATTGTTTTAGTTGCAAAAATTATTTTTTTAGGTTATTATATGGCCATATATATATATTACATGACCATATATATGTCATGTAATGAATATTGATTTTTTGGTCTGTAAAGCTACTTAACAAAATTTGTTGAGATAGGATAAGCTCACAATTTATCTTAAAATGTTTAATCTATTTGTTAATTATTTAAATAGGATCAGCTTTGAAGCCACACAATTTGTGGTTGAAGATTAAATTAATTAAAAGTGCAATTAATTTCAAGTATCCAAAAATAATTTATTATTAATCACAATTATCTTGTTTCGACGGAGAGTTTAATAGCTTAGGCCATATGATCGAATATTTTCGTCGTGACACAAAATGTAGATCCTATGCCCATTTGTTTTTGTCCTATTTTTTGTGACACAAAAACAAATCAAATTGAATAAAGTAATGCATCCGAAATTACAGTCATTTTTGACATTAAATCTGTTAAGGAGTGAAATGGGATAATGTAGTTGGCGTTGTTTATCGAAGGTGTTCCGACCATTTATCCTAATGTATACTTAGATAAAATATACATCAAACATTGTTTCCGAACGTTTACAAATCGTTCTGAGCAATATGTTAACCGAATATAGGTAAAATCCATCATGTTATTGTCGCAAAAAAAATGGATCTGAAGGACTTTTTGGATTTTATGTACAATAATCAATGCTGATACTGGGGGAGAGAAGGAGCATATTTAAAGGGCAGTATGATTAAAAGAGTATTATTATTTATAAACTTAAGAATTGTTTTTTCTCTCCTTGGTTTCAACGACCATGGGATCCTCCAGGGGCTCTTCATTAACAAAATAATTATAACAAAGTGTAAGAGGGACCGCCTTCCTCTTAATTTTACAGTTAATGGTCTTGAGAAAGAATCCAGGCTCTTTAGAAAATTATTTTCTTAGCGAATTACTTGAAAACTACTTCTCCTGAAAACCTTGTACGTCTAAGTGAAGAAACGATTTAAGAAACGAACCAAAGGAAAATAGTTTTCGTATAATAAGCCAGCACTGTTTTTGTCGAATCGAAATTCCTGAGAACTTTAAAATTGGACTTTGACCAACTATAATGTACGGAGACGAAAGAAACTTTTCTCGTTAAATGTAATTGCGGCAATTTGTACGGCTTGATGAGAATTAATCGGCTTATAATTGACAAAAAACATAGATCTTGTAATATATCTTGTTACTCTTTAATATGCACTGATTGGAAGAATGGAGGATACCCAATAACGTGAGCATAGTGTGTAAAATAATCTTTACTTTAAACTGCACCAATAAGAAAACTAATGGAATAAAAATAACTTTCCTAAAATGAAATATTTAAAATAAATTTAATCTTTAATTGTTGCTTTAATTTGTTTTAAGAAAGTTCTAATTATCTCATCGTCCAGATAAAAATTTAATTAATAACAAAAATTATAATTCCAAAATTATAATTACTTGATGTTAGTCAGCATTCTTGTCAAAATACCGTCAACCCCTTTTTAAACTATGTATTAAAGATTACGTGTGATTTTATTGATTTGATGGTCCGTTTTTCATTTCTCTTTTAAATTTTCTTAAATTGAAGAATTATATCAATTTGGTATGGCCGTATAGTGGCCCTAGTACGGTGGCTAAACCCTTGGAGAAAAAGACATAAAAATTCACAAAAATAGCAATATTACAGGGGAAATGCTTACTTGCCCAACTTCATGGACACGGGGGTTGACAACCCCTCACATGAATTCATTGAGGCAGCAGCAAGGAAAAAAAGCATTGAACTTCGACGGTAAATTGGATAATGTCAATGTTAAGAAATAGAAGGCAAATTGGGGCATCAATCTATCATAATAATACCGCTAACGAGGTGTACTATATAATACACTACTACTACTCTCGTGGTTGTTGCTAGTTGATGAACTGACTGTATAGCTAAATAGGCTAGGAGAGTAACACTATGACCTATTATGTGATGACTTGTTTCATCTCAAATGCAAAGTGCCGTCAATGGAAGTTGGTGTGAGAATGTGGATCTGGGTGACAACCTGAAAAAACTAATATCTTTTAGGGGGAGACCGAAGGTTATCCTAAGGAAACAAAATAACAACAGAAACAAAACCTGACTTAAAGAAAGACCTCATAAAATAATAATAATATAAAAAATAATAATAACTGAAATGGCTTCAACAATGTCTAACAAAATCAAAATACAAAACATTTTGACATAACCTTCCAAATAAGAGCAGCATGAATGTTTGGAAGAATAAAAGCCCGAATTAATAGAAGGGGCATATTATATTACATAGATGGATTCTAAAATGGAACAAGGAGGAGGAACAGGGGTTATGGGCCAAAATTTTGACTTAGCAAAACTTTTAGGTCCGATCATTTCTCC